CAGCATAAAACTCAAGATTAGATTAAAGCATGTCACTGGCGATCCAAACAAAGCATGGTCATAAACAGCTAGTGGACATCCAAAGCTCTTCCAAGAATATTACAATTATAAATATGATTGACACTATCAGAAACTAATTACGGCATGAAGATTTATACTAGTATGCTTGTAGAAAAAACAAAATGAGATCCAAGGTCAGCAACCCACATTTAGCTATTAATTATTTATAGGTCATCAATAACAGTTCCACTTAAGGTTATGTAGTCATAGAACAATGATTGGTTAACATTACCTTCATTTTCTGCAAACAGGGATAACAAAAATGAAAACTTAGATCTGACCACCTTCAGTGGTAGCATGTACCCACGGTAGCATGCACCTATAATTTTCTGAATATTCTTCGCAACTCGTGTTCTCAATTGTTGCTTCTGTTTTCTGTGGATGTTCTTGATGCAGTCAAAGCCATCCCCTTCATCAAATAGTCAACGTCTTCAAATCTTTCATCCCCAGGACGCCATAACTTGTTTGAAAGCCTGGCTTCCCTTTCTTTGTTATAAATTGAATGCAATTTTGACTTAAAGTATGGCAACACAACCTAGACAGATGTATCAAAATCAGAAGTTACTACTGCATCCAGCAAAGGATGTTGGAGGGAAACAGGTGATAGAGTTGGAAATGAGTTAAAACTGTCAGTACACTCAGTAATGCTCTCCAATAAAGAAGAAATTTAGCAGATTACTTGATTATAAGTTTATTAAAACATCTTAATAAGAAAAAAGAAAGATGCAGAATTCTACCAAAAATACAACTGAAAGAACTCTTTGACGCCTTTCTAGACCAGAATGTTGGATACCATCACTAGATTTTGATCGGATGTCAGCTTGTTTTGTTCTTATTTTTGCTGCTCTCCTCCGCAGGCCATATAGAGACTCAGAAAATGAAGCTTCTGAATAAGAATGGTTTATTGCAAAACAAGTCAAACATACATCTTCAAACCACAAATAACAAAATTAAGATAAATTTATATCTACATACAGCAACCAACATGCAGTGGGCATTATTATAAGCTTTCAAAATAAGAAACTTGTTAGAAATATGTTGAATTCCTTAAGAGCTAATAATAATAGTTTTGCATTTGCATGAAATGACCATCCACTGCGACTTCCTTCCTTCAACAAGCTGGTTGGTTCTGGGCTTCTAGCTAGGTGTTCATTAATGTTGATATAATTAATGAAGGAAAATTCATTCTATATGCTACAACTAATAGATGGTGGGCTGCAACTCATTTTGATCATGCTAGATCATGGAACGGAGCCTCTAAATTTAAGAATTTCCACAAATCACATTCCAACAATAAGAATGAAATACGTTACCACAAGATTCAGAAAATAATCTCCTTATTTCCTACACCCCTACAACCTTGACATTCAGCATCATCATATGGAAGGGAATAAATTTCATTGGATGCAGGGAAGGGACAATTATATGGCACATCAAACAATTTTTAATGCATCATCTACCATCATAGATTACATTATTTTTCACACAGGGAAGCAACAAAAACAAATTCATAGTTCACAGCACACACGTGTAGAAAACTATTTCCATAGGTACAATTAAGGCGATGTACAAAAAGTAAGGGGTGAAACCAGAATGAGCATTATAAGTTCAGAGGAAGAACACAAGCAATTTGGAAGAAAACTAAAAAGGGTTAGCCCACATCTGTATTCTAATTCCCCCTTAGACAAGATCAAATTGAACAATGATTTTTCCATAGAGCTTTCTTGCCTCTATTTACATGAAAGTACAATAGATGAATAGTCATTCGATGAAAATCAATTGAATATTTTATTTCCTATCAGAATACACATAATAGATAAAACTGCTAAAGTTATTAACTAATAATGAGTAAATATTGAAGGAAAGGATTCTCCATTGTGAGAAGCTGGAGTATGAGTTCATTAAATTGCTATCTAGAAAGTGGCAATGAGAAATTCAAATGCAATCCGAGCAAAATACCTCAAAAAGAAATTAAACATAATAGTAGAAACTAGAAAATATCAGAGAAGGAAACCTGTAGTTCGTAAGCTATGAGTCTCAAGAACCAACATCAGCAAAGCAAAGAATTCATCTTCATAGTCTAACACCTTATGAAGAAAAGGTCTTCTCAATGCCAATACCTATCAATTTACAAATGAACCTCAAAGTATTTAATCTCAGGCAGCTATAACAACACTAATTGCAGTCATAAAAATATCTAGTAATTAAGCAAGTCCAAAATAGTTCAATAGCAATTAATACTTCCAATGGCAGAATAATCAATCTACAAACTTCATCTTAAAAATAAGAAAAAGAAAAGTACTTTCAATTAAACTGAACATGGTTTCATGGTAGTTAAATAAAATAATCAATTTATTTCATTATAAAAGTTCCAAAAAAAAAAAAAAAAAAACAGAAACAAGCAAATTTACAAAAAACCAAGATTGACCCACAAATTGAAGAGGCAAAATTTATACCAAAACTGAATGATTTTGAGAAATAAAGAAGGAAAACTAAAATCGGTATTTGTAAATATAAAAAAGAAGTGTTTTTTTTTTTTTTTTGGTTTGTAGAGAGAGATAGATGGAAGGTTACCCCAATTGAGTAAGTGAGGGCTGCACGAAGACTAGCGGGGAGTTGCTGAGCAGCAGCCATTTCAAAGAAGGTGGGACGAGCCCCTTGTCCTGCCACTTGAAACAACATCTTCTTCTTCTTCTTCTTCTTCTTCAAAGAGGCGGTTATTACTGCTCAGTTTCAAGGGTTGAACACACAAAAAAGATTTGAGGATAAGAACATTTTTATTTATTTATTTTTTTACAATTCAGTCCATTGGGTTGACCTTTTGATGCTTTGTTTCCTTAACATTCTCCAAAATTCGAAAATAAAGCCCTTTGGTTTTCATCATTTTTCTTAAAGGGTTAATATGGGAATTATATCTTAAATTATATATTTTTTAGGATTTGGTATTCATAAAAAAAATTTACCATTTAAGTATTTAAATCATTGTTTTCATCAAATATTTTGCTTCCTACCCTAATTTTATTAAAAATAAAAAATCAATAATATCATAACATCTTATATATTTTTATTGATCTATATTTATCAAATGCTTTACAAAAAAATAAAATTAAGAGAGTATCGTAAATTTTTTATAACTATCAATAGTTAAAAGTTGTATATTTAAAAATCAAATTACAAATTAACCCTTTTCATAACTATTTTTATTTGTAATCATAAATTATATCATACGATCACTTTTAAAAAATTATATTCAAAAAATTTAAAATTCCATTTGTGTATCTTTCTTCAATCTCATATTTATAAAATAATAATAATAATAATACTGTTAGTAGAATTCCATAAAATTTAGAAATGAAGCTTTCTGTTTAATAATTAATGATGATTTTCATGCAGACGTAATTAGCAAATCAATTAACATGCACAGAAGTGAGAATTTGTTTGAAATTTAAAGGAGCATCACAAGTTAACAAATAATTGTTTATGAAAAATCAGTGTGAAAATAAAATAAAAAATAAAAAATAAAAAATTTTAATATTATATTTAACTAATATCAAAATTTTTAAACTATTATATAAATTAATTAAATTAAAATTTCAAATTATGAGCTTAGTACCATACGACATTCCAATGCATATATTTATTGATGTTAACAACCAAATCAACCATATGGAACTTATCCAAGTATCTTTCTTGATGCCACTGTAAATTCCAATGTAATTTACACGGCTTGTAGTATTATGCTTCATTTGCTTAGGTGGTGAGATAAATTGTGATAGAATTAAAAATAGTAATAAAAATTATAGTAATTATGATTGAAAAAAAAAATTATTGTAGTTGTAATTAAAAAAAATATTTAATAAAATATTTATACCGAGTAAATCTCACTAGAATTAGTATTTAAATTCAACTGAAAGTACAATGAATTCAATTACATTACATCAAAAATACGATAAAATTCAAATGAACACTTAGTTAATTATAAGATATTGCGAAGCAAGATAAGATCCGACTTTCCATCTCAATGCAAATACTTTAGATTTGGGAGGTTAACAATCAAGGGACCGATAGAAACAATAAAAAGCAGAGCCTATGATTTTCTTTCAAAATGAAAAGAATATCACATCTATTCACCCATTGAGCCTATGATTTGGAAGGTTAATTACTTAATCAATGATTAATTAACAACCTTTTAAATCTCTTCGCTTTGTAAAAAGAAAAAAAAATCAATAAAAAAAGATAAATGCTAAATTGTTCCAGGTTTAAAAACTTTTAATTTTAAATTATAATTGCGGTGTGAGATAAAAGAAATAAATATAAGTATTTACACTTAACTTTAAATTTATTAAATGTTACTTTTTACGAATAATTATATGAATCAATTGAATTATATCTGAATTCAAAGTAATATTGATTCTTAATAATTGTTGTATAATATTATTTTATTTAGTAAGCATCTTCTTTAGTAGAAAAGCTATAGTTTAATGGATTAATTTATTTTTTCTTGTACAACATTCAAACAATATTCCTACCTTATCTGATTAGCATCCAAAACAACTTTATTTTTTTATTTGATTTTATATTAGGGTTGTTATTATTATTTATAGAATGGAACTTCTTTTTAGTAGAAAAGCTATGGTTTAATGAATTAATTTATTTTTTCTTGTACAACATTCAAATAATATTCCCATCTTCTCTTATTAGCATCCAATATTTATTGAAATTAAAATAACTTTGTGATCAAATAGATGCTACAATTTGGTAGTTCTTTCAATAGCATTCACTTTACAGGTAGATTAGATCCTCTCCTAACCTCTTAAATCAAAGCTATTGGCCAAAAAAAAAAAAAAGGAACCTCTTAAATCAAAGCTGCAATATCAGAGTTCTTGAGCAACCCCTATTATTGTCAAGATCAATAGCCATAGCATTTGCTTCTCTTGAGCATGGGAAATTCTCAACCAAAGAAGGGATCTCTTAGTCATGAACATACCTTGTTCCATCAGTATGTGGAAAACAGGTCTACAAAGGAACAATGTGATGTATGCAATGAGGAAATCTATGGTGTGGTCTATGCCTGTGAAGTCTGCGAGTTTACACGGCATGCATCATGTGCACAAAAGCGGATGCCTTTAGAGATTACTCACCCTTCCCACTCAATGCACGAGCTACAACTACAAGATGAGTCTTCGGATTTCTTATGTGAAAGATGTTTCTGTAATTCTCGAGGCCCAAGATACCACTGCTCTAGTTGCTTAATCGATGTTGATTTAGCGTGTGTTTCTTCAAACAACGATCAATCCGCTGAAGGAGATGAGGGTCAGATACCTGAAGGCAGGGTAAGAAAAAGAACCAGGCATTTCAGCCACGGGGAGCCGTTGGCTCTCTTCAAGTATAGGAAGACAACACAACGATATGAACTTGATTGCAGTTGGTGTGACAAGCATTTATTAGGCATGTCCTATGGTTGTTTCAACGGGGGACCTTATGGTTGCAAGTTCTTTCTCCATGAATCTTGTATTTCTAAGATTTCCAAAAGATTGCTACATCCTTTTCATCCACTGCACCATCTTTTCCTGCAGTACAGTAATGTCGGCTATAGATTCTCTTGCAACGCCTGTAAAGGTTCAATTTCATCTACGAATTTAACAACATACTATGCCTGTCATAAGTGTAGTTTCTACCTTCATATTTCTTGTGCTAGGCTCCAACCTACGCTGAAACATAAGTGCCATGAGCATGATCTTACATATTTTTCGAGAAGTACTGAAGAGTGTTTCAATTGCCATGCCTGTGGCCATGATTGCAATGCCCAAAAGAACAAAGAAGGTGCTTTCTACCGTTGTGTACAATGTAATTTCAACATCCATTTCAGATGTCTTCCAGCACCACCTGTGGGTAAACATAGATATCACAGGCATTTTCTCATCCTCCATCACGGAGTAATTGAAGATGATTCTGGAGAGTATTATTGCGATGTCTGTGAAGAAGAAAGAAATCCAAAGCATCATATCTATTATTGTAAGAAGTGCACATATATTGCTCATGTCGAATGTGTTCTCAAAGAGGTAAGCTCTCATTTGAACATTTACAATATCTCCAAGTGGAAATTGGCTATGAAAAAAATGATATCTGACTTGTTTGTTTTGGCTACAGGTTTCTGACTCTCAAGTGAGGAAAATGATGGACTTGGTGAAAAGACTTCAACGGAGTAACGGAAAATTGCAAGTGCTCAAAGAAACATGGGACAATAATATCGACAGGAATCAATTGTTTGAGGTAAGTAAAGCTATATTTCTTTTTTCTCTGACATGTTTTAGGATTGAAAACCTTTATTGCACATGCACACCAACCCTTGCCCACATCCATAATATTGAAAGCAAAATGAATTTGAAAAACAAAAGAATATAAAAGAAAATTAATCAGACATGTAAGAAATGATGGACAGTAACTGAAAGAAATTTATGAATGCAATGACAACAACAGAGGCAATGCATGGATAAAATGATATGTAACAGTCTCTTTTTGATCAGATGCAATCAATACAGTTTTTCAAAGGACCTTGAACTAGAGGAAAAGGAAAAGAAGAAGGAAAAGGTAAAATATTTTGAGAATGATGAAGATGCAGAGAGTAGTACTAGTAGTGATGATGATGATGATGAAAAGAGTGATGAGGAAGGTAGTGAAGCAGAAGAGGAGGAAGAGAGTAAAAAAGAAGATGAAAACGAGGAAACGAGTGAAGAAGAAGAGGAGGAAGACAGTGAAGAAGAGGAGAACGACAAAGCGGAAACGAGCGAAGAAGAGAAGTTAGATAATAAGGAGGGGAAACATAAGGAAGTAGATGAAGAAAAAGATGGGCAGGATGACGAAAAGATGGAAGAAGAAGAAGTAAAAGAGTTAGAGGAGAATGAGGAAAGTAGTGATGAAGAAGAGCAAGAGGATGAGAGTGAGGATGAAGAACCAGAAGAGAAAAATGAAGCCAATCAAGGAGAGGCATCGACATGCATCAATGACACCAAAGAGTTGAAGCCCTCGACAGAACCTGCACTTAAGGTCTACTTTCCTCAACTAGATTTTCTTAAAACTTTTTGGTACATAATGAAACAATTTAGTTCAGTTTTCTGTCTCTCTTTTGTCCTTTGAGATGCAGATTAATCATTTCAGCCATCATCATTCATTGAACATTTTCCAGTTAACCAAAAAGTTCAAAGGTAACTGCAATGCCTGTGGCCAAGAGCTACTTGGTACAGTCTACATATGCAAAACCTGTGAATCTCCTTTCCACTATGGATTACATAAAGCATGCGCTGAGTTACCCCCTGAGCTGCAACACCCTCTTCACCCCCAACATTCTCTAACCCTCTTACATGAGTTCCCTCATTCAGAAACCTCATGGTTTTTATGTGATGAATGTAGAGAATTTTCTGCTGGTTTTGTTTACCTCTGCTTGGATTGTCAGTTCAAGCTCGATGTAAAATGCGCAGTTTTAGCTGCTCCAGAAATTGGGAGCCAAGATCCAAAAAGTAGGAAGAAAGAAACCAAGTTACTCCATTTCAGCCATAACCATATTCTGGTCCTTGGCAATCTTGTGCATAGATCATTATCATGCCTCGGCTGTGATTTACCAATCTTTGGCCCATCCTATTGTTGCCTTGATTGCCTTTATACTCTTCATGAATCTTGCCTTAGAACATTACCACAGCAGATACAACACCCATTTCATCTGCCACATCATTTGGTTGCCTTCCCTGAATACTCTCGAGAGAGCAAGTGTCATGCCTGCAAAATGGATTTCCAATTGGGTTTCCCAGTACGCGATTTCATCAGATATGGATGTTTGCAGTGTGAACTTGACTTCCACTTTGTTTGTGTCAATTCCCTTCGGAGAGCCTTGAAATCTAATTCCCACACGCACAATCTTTACTACTTAGGAACAGACAACCAAATGTTCTTAGAAAAATTTGGACAACTCCATAAATTTAACTTCATGTGTAGTGCATGCAGTGAAATGTGTAATGGTCGAGCATTCTATCGTTGTGTGGAGTGTGCGATCAATTTCCATTTGAAATGTGTCCCTGTACCACAAAAGATCAAATCTAAATGTCACCTCCATCATCTTACCCTCAAAGACTCCTTTGTTGAAGACGACACAGGAGAGTACTATTGCGATGTTTGTGAAGAGGAAAGACATCCAGTAGATCATGTCTATTGTTGTGTGGAATGTCATGGCCACTTTGTCGCTCACATTGAATGCGTGCTTCCATTGGTAAGTTCATCATGTTCATCTATGGCTCTTTTATAATTAATCTGTGATCTACATCATTACTAAAATAATTTCATTAGAAAGCAACAAGCTCTTTTCCTTTATCAGGTGGAAGAAACTTCACCAGATATAACAGCAATCTCCAATTAGGAGTCAGGATTTGAGAAGACCTCTATCCGGGCTGATAGCTAATGGAATCAACACATGGTGGCTTTGGGTTTCATTTTTCTTGTCGGTTTCAATAAAGACACGAATTTTATTACATGTACGAAACGTACTTGTGTTGATTGTCTTCTTTTCCTTCGATTTCATGTTTTTACAAATAGTACCCTATAATTCTATTGAAAAGTTAAATCAACCATGAAATTTCATTCTGATTACAATCTTAATCTTAAACTTTAAATCAAAATGATTAAGCATAATAAGAAATTTCTTTTTAAAGATATAAATAAAAATATTTTTAGAATTTTATCAATTAAAATTGCATTGTAAGAGTCAGACTTTGTTCAATCTGTAAATCTTTGGCTCGTGCAGTTGTTTATATATTCGGTACTATAATCTGAAGTGGTTTCTGTATTTACAATCTGGGAAAAGGCTAAGAGGGTTAGTGTTTGAGAAAGAAGAGACAATGGTTTCAAGATTGAATCCATAATTCTATATGGAGATGTGGTTGTTCAAGTTGGTTTTGTACATTGTTATTGGCTTTGAGACAACATTAATTTGCTGTTTTCTAAAGAAAAACGACAATAGAATGAATCAGGCAATCAGCTGTTCGAATATCATCTAATTGGATAGTTAATTTGCTTGTGCACCAAGAGGATAACCTACACCAGCAACACATACAAGAAAAAACAGAGGAGAAATTGAAGTTTCTCCTACAAAAATCAGTTTAATTAGAGCAACATATGGATTGAAAAATGAAATGTTAATTGGCTAGTTCTTGTTCATTTTAACCATCTAATATTATTAAGCAAAATCTTTGAACTCAACAAATGATTGTTCATGGTTTTGCTTCTATATATCTCATTCATTATTTCCTTCAAATCATGGGTGCGGGCGCAGCCTAGATCAGTTTCATCGTGGCTGTCCATTTTTATGCAGTGATCATGCTGACTGCCCACCCTTAAAGTTTGTCATTTTGATACTACCAGAAAATGTAGTATAATGGGCGAAAATTTTTGTCGGTAATATTATATTTTTTGTCAATAATAATATTTTCATTAGATTTACTGATGGAAAATTTCAAGGACCATGACTTGTTTCATGTATCAGACTTGTAACAATCAAAAGATTAACTCAATGGTTCATACAATCATCACATCCAAATTTGAAATCCAAAAAATTTCTACCAACCGAATCACTGTTTTTTTGCATACAATAACCAAATGGAAGTTGGAAATTGTTCTACAAGTGTTTTTGTCTGCCATAGAAAAAAGGAATTTAAATTTCCTGTTAGTTTCTTTGCTAATAATACCAAGAAATTTCATACTATTAGCAAATTTGTTGTTAAACCTTGACAAGTTCAATGAAATGATTGAATTTTCAGTTTCAGATGTTAAACCCTGATAAGAATTGAGATTTTAATAGAAATTTTAGATTCTAGAGTCATTGTAATCATTTCAACTTGAACAAAATAACAAAACCTGTTAGAAAAAAAAGTCATGGTCTAAAAGCCATGGCACCTAACCAACTTTCCTACCATTTCGCCCCCAAACCTCCTTCCCATATTTATGTCCCCTCCATTGAGTTCCCAACCTTTCACATGTTTCTTCCGTACATTGTTGTCGGTGGCTCTCGCCGGTTAGAGGTGTCTCCGCCCTAGCCCCTTAGTCGAGTCTCTCTACCAAAAAAAAATGGCTCCTCCTCCTACTCATTCCAGGATTCTTGAGATAACCCTCATTTCCGCTGAAGACCTAGACCCTGTCTCCAAAAACATGAAGACCTACGCGGTTGCTTGGGTCCAACCCGACCGCAAGCTCGCCACAGGGGTAGACCTGACAGGCGGAGCCGATCCAACTTGGAATGACAAGTTCATGTTCCGAGTCGATGACAAGTTTCTCAACTCGGAGGATGCCACAATTTTTGTTGAGATCTACGCGGCTGCATGGGTTAAAGATGCCTTGATTGGATATGCTAACGTCCTGATCAGGGATATTTTCCACTTGAGATCTGTAGCCAACGCCAAGAACAACAACTCCGCCACGAGAACCGTCACGCTTCAAGTCCGCCGTCCCTCTGGCCGCCCCCAAGGGATTCTCAACATGGAGTTTGCCCTTGTTGATAGTACCATGCGTAGCTTGCCTCAGCTAGAAGACCCTAAACGAGAAACAATAACCAGCCAAAAAATGGAAAATCACGAGACGAATGAGTCAGCAAAATCACAAGTTACACGCAACGCTAAGATAAGCCGTTCACAAAGCGACCGGACCGAGTTATCAATGGAAGATAACTCAGAGAAAAGGCCTGGAAAGGGTTCGATTGTTAATGGTGGTTCAGTTGCCAATGGTTCCATTGTTAATGGCAATGGTAGCATGGTGAATGGTGACTCTCTTTGTAGCACGGACGTGGGGCCTTCAGCCTCGGTTGTAGCTGCAGCCATTGCAAAAGGGTTGTATAAACCACCACTTCCTCATCAAGTTCAATCAAAAGAATCAAAGAAAATAAGGGAATGGACCAAGAAAGAGAGAGAAAAAGACCTAGACATGAAGCTAGAGAGGTGGCGATCGGAGATTCAGCCCCCGTCTGCCACCGGATACCGGAAAACAAAATCGAGCAAAGAGCGAAGACCAAAGGGTATGAAGTTGTTCTCCTGTTTTAGCACTGCTCTCGGATGTGAAATTTCGGTTACTTGTGGTGGAGGTCAGAAGATCCATAACAATGGCAGCAATAAAATTTATCATTTAAGCTCTGTGGATGATAGTTATAGCGAATCACTTGTTTGAATATATCTTTTCGAAAGATTTGATTGAGGTATGGTACAAGAGATCGAAGCTCTTTTTTGTTTATTTCTTCCTTGCAAGCTACAAAGAATGTCATGATCATGAGATAGTTGCAAGAGATAAATTGCATCTCTTCTATACTTAAATAATTAAATCCTTCATTTTAATTGATATATATATATTATATATATTTATATATATTTATACTAGACTAATCACATGATTAGCAAATTGTTATTATCCTGAACTGCAACGTTAATTCATGTCTTGTAAAACACATATATCTCTCTCAAAAGTATTCATGCCTATCATGCTAATTTAAGAGAAGAATAATCTTCATATAGAAATAGAAAGAACTTAGTGGTATTACACATATTCAAACCAATATGTCATGATGCGAATTAGTTGTTAATCATTCAGGCAATAGACTTTATCTTTTCTCTTTCCCTGTTCCTTTATTGTTGCTCAATGATAAATGAAATAACTCAAAGAGTAAAATAAGGATGAAAACAATCAAGCAAAAAATTGTGCATGTAAAATATTTTATAGTTTGAGAAAAATAATGTTATAATAAAATAAAATATTCAATGAATAGTTCATGAATAATTTTACTATGATAATGTTTGAATATCATTGTTAGGGGTATTAGACTTCAATGACTGACTGGTGATAAAAAGTCCAGTTAAAAAAAGTTTTTTTCCTGCACACCACAATCTCATTTTACCCATGATATTTTTTTTTATTTCTTTTTTTTCCTTTAAATTTATAATTCATTTTTTTCGTTTTGATTTTCTATTTAAAATTTTAAAATAATAACTTTATTGATTTAATATAATAAATTAATTTTATTATATAATAAATAATATATTAATATTTTTATTGAATAAAATTTAAGATTTTAAATATTATAAATAATATTAATATATAAAAATAATTTATCAATATATTTTTAAACAAAATCTCTATCGATGATTTTTTATTCTTATCCCATCATTATAGTTACTTTTGCATCTAAATACATATCTTACAACTGATTTTAATTTTACAATTATAGTAACTAATTTCACTATTATAATAACTAATCTAATTTTCATCACTATTTTTAATTTTATCAGAATCAATCTCACTGTCCATCCATCCAAATGAACTCTAAATTAAAAAGACCAATAATGTTTCAAAATATATTAAAATAATGTTTTATGTTGTATATTAAATTTAATAATTATGTATTTGTATTGTGTAAAATATTGATAATTTATGTATTTATATAATATTTTATATAAAAATTATGTATAATAAGTTGAATAGACACAAAATACATAAATATATTTTTAATTTTGTTAAACTCATAATTTTTATATCGTATTATATTTTAAATTATCATATTTACCATTCATAATAAAAACACTCTAATTTATATAGGCTGCTCCCGCCAATGATTCATATATCATTTGGCTTTGGGTCAACTACTTTATAAACCACCTTTTTTAAAAAAAAATAAACCACCCTATTCTTTCTATTGATAGAAAAGTTTTCAAATTATTATATTTATACTTATATGTATAATACATCTTTTGGTGAGTATATACTTAAATTTAAGTTTCGACTTGACCATGAAAGTTTTGATATAAAAAATATTGAACTTGGTTTAGTTGGACAATAACTGTACAAAATTATCCTTTTCACCTTTTAAAAGATTTTTCAGCTTTTATAAAGCATCATCTTATTGAATGTATAAAATGGTCAAAACAACTTTTTTACGTTCATTTTACTATATACAGATTTTGGGTACCTTTCAACGAGAAAGATTTTACCAACCCTACCAAATATGAGAATTTGATACCGTATCTGGTAGACATTTTTTACAAACCCTTAGATATATTTGATCCACCTACCGATCACATCGAATTCTTTGATGATTTAAACAAAATCATCTCTAAATATACCAACCCAAACTCTTATCACTTCCAATCGAAACCCGACCTCATGGATAAAGAAAAATTCTTTTTCCATTTAGCCACAAATCAGACTATCCAAAAATAGCTTGTTGGATAGATGGCAGACGTATTTTTGTTAAAAGATTTCTGTAACCACATGAAGATCTTGAT